CTCAGAGAAACGCCCGGTTCCCGAGGCCTGCGACGGTCTGCCGGGTCGTCCCTCATTCCATTCGGGCGCGGCGCAGTGAAAGCGCGGCACTCTGTGGCACTGCAGCCGTGGCGGTCTTGCGGATCCAGGCTGCTGCGCGTGGTTTTCTGAATCATCGACGCTCTCGGGCTGCGGATCGGATCGCTATGTGGTGGCGCCGTTTGGGCTTGGAGAGTCGGCTCCAGGCACGCCTGCAGCGCCGCCTACTAGCAGCGCCTGGGTATGGCACGCAAGGAGATGAGGACCTGGCTGGAGCTGCCGCTGCTGCTGTCCTCCGTGTGCAACGGCTTGTCCGCGACTTCCTGAGGCGATGTCGTTCGCGGAGCGGCCGCATTACAGCGTGCCAGCAATCAGTTGAACGACGGCGAAGCAGGTATGGCCGAGCCATGGTTCCGCCGCGCTGCAAGTGGGGGCACGCTTGCCCGTTTCATAAGATTGGGATGTGCTTCTATTTTCACGGCCACATATCCGACAGTGCTTGGCGGGTGGCGCCCCAGACTACGCTACTGCAGCGCATCGCATTGCAATATGGGCAGTTCAACGTTACTATGGCATCCTTATTCCAGCGTTTCGTGCAGCAGGTGAACCCAGTGCGCCTTGTGATTCTTGATCCGTATATTGTCTCAGTTCGACGGGCTGCGATTCCTACCTTTGGCGAATTGTCCGCGGATGACCTTTACGAGGCCGTGGCCTCGCCAGGTCTCAGAGATTCTACAAGCTTGCATTTGGTCGATGACTTGCTTGACCTAGCGGCGACACACTCTTCACAACACACCAAGGTGACGCTTGTCACGCGCGGATTCCTGAGAGCACCTGACGTGTCGGGGCAGTCCTTACTTCGAGAATGGGTTTCGATGGCGAACGAAGCGCGGTTGCCCCGAGGTATTCAGATCGATTGTCGTTTGGATGCGCACGTGCACCTCCGGAAAGTTGTCTTCATAGGGCTTGGTACCGCCATCGAGCGTTGCCCAGAGTGGGGTCTCAATGTGTATGCGGAGGGCGGCGCCGACACAGACCCCGCCCGCTGGCCTTCCCGTCGCACGGATATGCCTGTTTTCTTTCACGGGGAGCCTTGGGACCCTCTGGTTGTGGACGGCGACGCGCCATGCGGGCAGCAGCTGCGTTGGCCGTTGCAGGACCACTAGCGGCGCGCGCAGCTGGCTGTCTTGGCATTGCGCGTCCTTGCTGCCAGCCGGCGGCGCTCGTGGGCGGAGGGCGTTTTCTGTGACAGGTGCCGCTCGGTGCGGACTGCCCGCGGCTCGATGGTACGATTTCCCGACGGGCGTCTCAGAGTCGTAGCCTTCGGAGGTCTTCCTGCCCGCGTCGCGCAGGAAGAGGGCTTCATTGCAGTCGCGCAGTGCTGCCGCTGTGCGCACGGCTCGGCCAGCGGCGGAAGGGCGCGGTCGGAGCTGGTGAGCGGGGGCGCGCGTACGCGGGCAGCGCTCCTCGCTCATGGCGGCCAGCTGGCGCAGTTGCTGCGGCGGCGCCTCGCGCTAGCCATCGTGATCCCCAGTGATCGTGGTGGCGACGTGCGTCTTCATGGCACGGCCCACGAAGTTCTGAAAACAGCTCTCAACGGTGGGGCGGCCGACGATGTTGCGCAGCGCCTGGATGACACGCTCCCTCTGTGCTGCCCAGGCGGCGGGCAGCAGCGCGGTCTCGTCCGCCTGGCCCCGCTGGCCCCCACTCCGGGTGCCCAGGTTGCGTGCCAGATCATCCAGTGCAAGTGGCGCGCGCGCGTTGCTGTGCTCCGTCGCCGCGCACGCCGCAGCGAAGCAGCTGACTTGCTCCGCGTGCTGGAGAGGACCCAGGAGATGCCCTGGACGCTGGCCGGGAGGCCTGCCTATCGTTTTCTTCGCGCGGTCGTTGTGGTGCAGCGGCTGCGACGGGGCCACGGCATCGCTGCTGCGTTTCGAGCTGCTTCTGCTTTTGTCTTCGCAGAGCCTCAGTGGCGAGCCCGAGCCAAGGCCCTCTTGGCTCTCCTTCGGAACTTACGTGGGGCAGACCATTTTTGGCCAGATCTCAAGTTCTGGCTCATGGCTGCCCGCTGCACCCAGGCCTTTCAGCTAGCCACTCTTTCTTTGACGGGCATGGACCAGAGTGTGGGCATGCTTGAATTTGATCGCCTCGCGATTCGCACAGCTTGTGCCGCTGAGGGCGCGCCTGATGGCGAGCTGCGATTGCGGCCAGCAGTTCCCCCAGTCGGCGCTCCTCGCGTTGTCCCTCGTCCGGCACTGTGGATGCTTCGCCCGCTCGTGCGAGCAGGGTTGGCAGTGGGCACCTGGCGGGTCGGCAGTGGCATCGCGGCTTCGCCAGGGGGGGGCGTCAGTGGTGGTGCGGGGGCGGGGTTGGGCGGCAGTGGCAACGAGTCAGCGCAAACGGGCGGCAGTGGCAGCGCAGTGGGACGCGGAGGTGCGAGGAGGGGCGGCAGTGGCAGCGGCGGAGGAGGACGCGGAGGAGGAGAAGGAGGTGAAGGAGCGAGGACGAACGTCATCGGTGGAACCAGCATCGGCGGCAGCAGCGGCACGATGGGAAGAGCGGGGAGGGGCGGCAGTGGCGGCGCGGACGTCAGGGCCAGCAGCGGCGACGATGCATGGAGATGCTTCCAGTGCGTGGGGGCAGCTGAGGCCGATCTCGCCGCGTGGCCGCGGCGGCGGAGCGACCCGCGATTGAGGCGCTTCGCGCGTGGCAGGGGGGCGGCCGTCCTCCTCGCCAGGGCGCCGAGCGAGGCTGGTGCTGCTCAGCGAGGTGGTGGGGGCGAAGCTGGAGCCCGCGGTGCTCTGTTACAGCGCCCTGATCAGCGCGCGAGAGAGGAGCAGGCGGGAGCAGGGGCAGTGGCAGTCAGGCCTGGCGCTGCTGAGCGAGATGGCGGTCGCGAAGTTGGAGCCCACCATCATCAATTTCAGCATCCTGGAC